GAAATATTTTTTAAAAATAATAATATTATTATAGCGAAAGACAGTATCAGGAAGAAACTTGCTGCAGCAATAAAGGAACACCAGGTCTACACACCAGATATGTTATCAATGCCTTCTGCTCACCCAACCGTGAGAAATGATGTTCGAGTATAGATGGTGCACGATAATCAGTGGCTTACTCTAGTGTGGTTTTGGGTGAGGCTGGTATTTTGCAAGAATGGCATCTAAAAGTGAGGGCCACTCTTCTCTTTGTATCTCTTTCATTCATTCTTTGTCTCTCTTACTCTCTCACTTACTTTACTCCTTTGTATCCTGTCCTTATTCTAACTCATCACTATATTACTGTTACTCTGTTACTGGTACCTCTTGTTCTCTATAGACTATCAACCAGTGAAGAGATGGGGACACTCCACAGTAAAGGTAGGAGACTACCTATATATGTGGGGTGGGTCCGGGTCTGGAGTAGACTATGATGTGATGGAGGTGTATCACTTACCAACTGGTGCTTGGGACCAGAAACCTACTACTGGTACCCCACCACCAGGTACCTGGGTCTATTCATCTGTTGCCATAGGAAAGGACATATATTATTTCGGTGGACGTGGTGCAGGTGATAGTGGTTATCAATACCAAAACAGCTTACATTGTTTGAATGTGGATTCATTTAAGTGGAGGGAACTCTCTCCTAGTTCTGATTATGATCCAATGAAGAAGGGCTTTTGTGGAATAATATCAGTTCATTTTGATGGTGAACACTATCTCGTAATAATCGGAGGACTGGGATCATCTTCTACACCTAAGCAACCTAATGCTCAGTATAATAATTCTTTTGGTGATTTGAGATGTAATGAGATACATTATTACAGGATTTCATCAGGTCAGTAATTCTCATCATTGATACACAATAGTTAATCAGTATTTCAAACTGAATAATTTATATTAATGTACATAAAACAGATCGTTAATAATTAAGTTTGTTTGTTAGTATGTCATGTGTTTGTGTGTGATGGTGACGTGTGTCTATATGTGACGTGTGTGTGTGTACTAATACATACATTATGATGTGTCTATGTATGATAGTGCATATAATGTATGTGAGAATTTATGAATGTATGACGTGTGTATGTGGTCGACGTGTATCTATAATGTGCATGTTATGTGTGTGTGAGTACCGTAGGCCGGGATATATTCGCGGGTGCAATTATTCGTGGTCATAATTAAAAACTAATAAAAATATTCAATTAAATACCATGGAAACCGATTGATAGTTGCTATGGTAATTGACCACGTGTTTACACTAGGAGGGAAGTTATCTCAGCTGTTACATAATCAACAATTACAGTACCATGGTTGAAGTATCTAGCTGTATTCGTGGTCTTCACGTTTACAAAGACATATGGGAGCCTTATATAGGTGAGGAGATGGTGTGTAGCCCACAAATGAACAATCCTCATGACTGCTATGCTGTGGCTGTATGCAAGTCAGGTACCATAGTGGGGCATGTCCCAAAAGTTATATCAAGACTATGCTGGTTGTTTTTAAACAAATCTGGCACAGAAATTAAATGTTTTGTCACTGGTACTAGAAGGTACTGCAGTGATTTGGTTCAAGGTGGTCTTGAGGTACCTTGCAGGTTTAAGTTTATTGGAGGAACTCATGAACAAACTGCTAAAGTTGCTGCTCTTCTAAGAAGCACTGACAGCAGTACTGTCTGCTCTAGTGTTACAGAAGAGTAGTTATACACATACATGTACATATAATTATGACAATAATGTATAATATTTTATGTATGTATGTATGTATGTATGTATATCTCTCTCTCTCTTTCTGAACAAAATCACGCTCTTCGGAGTGATGATAAGATCAATAATGATCACGCTCTTCGGAGTGATGATAAGATCAATAATGATCACGCTCTTCGGAGTGATGATACGATCAATAATGATCACGCTCTTCAGAGTGATGATACGATCAATAATGATCACGCTCTTTGGAGTGATGATAAGATCAATAATGATCATGCTCTTCGGAGTGATGATACGATCAATAATGATCACGCTCTTCGGAGTGATGATAAGATCAATAATAATCATGCTCTTCAGAGTGATGATACGATCAATAATGATCATGCTCTTCGGAGTGATGATAAGATCAATAATGATCATGCTCTTCGACAATAAATTATTGTGGGCATTATATATACCAGTATGTTTTATCCATTAATTTTGTGTTAGTAATCTCGTGTCTAGCTGATAATAATTATTATTATACTTTCTATTAAGACATTATCATAATTCTCTCCATATAATATATACTTCTATTACGACATTATTAATAATTATTCTCTATAAAAATTTTAATTAGGTACGAATACATGTATTACAATAATTGTCATTCATTAATAATAATAATTAATATTCTTATATTATTCATAATTTTGGCACTTTGATTAATAATAAAATGGCTGACGGAGGAATTGGGCAGGACGGTGAAAGAGATGCAGCACTAGCAGGCCTTTTAGGTGTAAGTATTATCTTCTTGGTTCATAAATTTAATTTATGTACTTTTATAGCAAGTCACTATGAATTCAAATCCTCCTACACCTCAGCAGTAGGAGCAAGTACAATTGGAAGCTCCACCGTCTCCACCACCTGTTCCTGTCAACAATGCTAACCACAACGATAACAGTGGAGGAAGTGGTAACGGAGGAGGTGGTCTTGTTGTTGTTCAGGAAGATGGGGGTGGTGATGGGGGCAATAGAGAAGAGCCTCGGGAAGAGGATGGCAGAGATGATGACCAGAGAGGAGGAGGTAGGGGGGACAAGGCAGGGGGGGACAAGGCAGGGGAGGACGGGGTAGAGGGGAACGAGGCAGAGGAGGACGAGGTAGGGGAGGACGTGGTAGGCCTGGAGGACGAGGCAGGAGAGGACAAGGTGCTGGCTATTGCTACTGTCCCTACAGTGGAAGCCAGAGCCGAGGTAGCTATGAAAGAGCCAGGTCCTGGAGAGGCAGCTGGAGAGGAGGGCGAGGCAGAATAGCTGAAGGACCTGATAACTTACAGCTCCTTCTTGAAATACTTATATATATAATTGACAATACCCACCATCCTAGGCCTAGGTATACCATTAATACTTTTATTAGATAATAAAAATAATAGTAAAAATAGTAATAATATTAATAGTATAATAGTAATAGTATAATAGTATTAACCTAATAGATTTTTAATTTCAACATAGCATTATTTTAAACATAATCTTCTTTTTTGGTGTCTTCACCTGTACACTGAAGTCACGCTCAAACAGATTTGATATAATCATTTATATTATCTATAAAAATTGACTATTACAATGAGGACATTACTACAATGTACATGTACTTTACCGTGTTTTTGAGACATTTTTCCCCATTAAAATTTGTAAAGCATATACCCTATATACATGTAATACATTTAATAAAATTATCTTTATTATTATTGTACTTTCCTCCTCCTCAAGACACAAAAAACAAACAAAAATCTTATCCTGCTTATGATACAAACACATTATAGACATACACTATACACTATAGACATACAAACAATAATAAACATAAAAATTATAATGCACTTAATTACAATACTTAATTATCATCACTCCGAAGAGCGTGATCATTACTGATTGTATCATCACTCCGAAGAGTGTGATCATTACTGATCGTATCATCACTCCGAAGAGCGTGATCATTATTGATCTTATCATCACTCCGAAGAGCATGATTTTGTTCAGAAAGAGAGAGATGGAGAGAGAAAGCAAATATACATACATTGTACACACATCTAGTCTACATACATACATGACAATCACATACAAATACAATACAAACAATACATACAAACATACATTACTTTACTTCTGGGCCCACCTTCCATCCCCAATCTCCATTCCATTGATTACAAATAGAGTCAAGAGTTTTATAATTGTTCATACTATATACCACAACACTTCTGTGGTTTTAATAATTAGTATACTGTAATAACTCTGACTTTCCCAGAAGACATATCATGATCAAGTACATGTACAAATTTGTATGCTTGTACATGTATAATACATAATTATGTAACACATACATCTGTTATTCCTGCTGATCTGAACCCATTCTTAATTATATCGGGATTGGCTTGCATATAGTTGTAAAACAACTTAAGCCATTGTGCCCCAAGAGGCTTCATGGTAGAAAGCCTTAGGTCTATTATATAGGGCTGGGGTTTTGAGTGTTTTCCAAGGCTTCACATACTTTAAGTGAGTACCACTCAATGAACTTGTTCCTCATGAAGTCCTTGCAAGGTTTGTTCACCGATATGTCCAATGGCTGTAGCCTATCGGTACAATTTGGTGGCACGTGTACAAAATGAATGTTATTTTCCATTAAGAGGTCAATGGTAGACTGGCACATCTGACCTTTAAAAATGTCAAAAATGACCAAGGCTGGCTGTGGAGATGCAACATGCCTGTGTGGTAATTGGGACCTAATCTTCTCAATGTATGGGACAATGACTTTAGTGATGTAGTCCTTCATTGTGCTTTCATTTGCCCAGTGGTTTTCAGTGTGGGTAATGTGCCAGTCCGCTGGGAAAGTGACACCGTTTGGGTGACAAGCTGGAGTTTTCCCAGTATGTGTGTGTGTACTAATTGGGCGAAGCCCACTAAGATGAGTAGAGTTTGTTTGTATTAGTGGTGGGCGATATATCGATATTTTATCGATACAAATGATATTTTACGGTAGCGATTTGTATCGGTATCGAACTTTTGAAGAAATCTGGATTGATACATTGACCACGCCCGTTTAATATGGTTAAATAATATTAATAATAAAAATTTTAATAAGTCAATGACGTATAATACACACACGTGGATACATGTGCATGAAAACATCGATGAAAACAGTCAATAATAAGGGGTGTGACTCCATAGGTGTGGTCTATATATCGTATCAAAACTGTATCAATACTCTCGATATGAGCTGATGTCGATCGGTATCGTATTGAATCCATTTTGGCTATGTATCGCCCACCACTAGTTAGTATGTATGTACACACATGTATGTATGTCTGTACGCGTACGTATTCCATATCTCCTCTATATATCCGCACATGCCTAGCAGTGCAATAGATTCAAAATTTCAAAATTTCATTTAAAGTGGGAGTGGCCGAAACAAATAAAATGGCGATCACCACGCGGGAATCAGAACTCATGATTTTCCTACTTCCTAGCAGCAAGATAAGGCAAAAACACTGTCCAAAGACTTCTCCAAATGCTTGAAAAGGTTACAGATGCAATTAAGTAACTATGAAACTCCTTTTTGTTGAGATAAACTGTGAAAATCAAACAAATGTCACCTTTGTCACTGACTGTACTAAACTGGCCAGCCTTTTTATATTTTATGGCTATTTTAAAGTCAGTGTAGCAAGGCTTAAAGTAAAGAACAAGTCAGGAGTTTTCAAGCAGCAACATAAGGTAGAGATTCTGCTTTTTTTCCAGCTAATAATCTACAAGGCTGAGCCCTTTAATGCTTTACATTGTTTCTAGTACATACATTATGATGTGTCTGTGTATGATAGCAGGAGTCCATAATGTGGGTAAAGAAGGAGTAGGAGTGTGAGCGCCCCCGCTTTAATGAGATTTCTTTCTGCTTACCAAAGCTAGCTG